TTATACCTCCCTATAGTTTCTCATTCATTTCCTATACTATGTCCAAAGCTAAGCTTATAAACTCTCTGGGGCAGAGACCACTCTTACTCATTCTATAAAGAACCTACCATATAGTAAGAGTTTATCTTGTCTACTATAACATGGTACAGCAGACATTCACAGGAGCCCTGGGGATAGAAGCAGCCAAGCAGGCTGCACAGGGCTGCACTCCTTGCCCCCAGCGCAGCACCGGTTGCCTCTATCACAGGGGCTCTGCGCTGCACCTGCAGTTCCGCACTCGCAGAGGGAGAGCCCCGCACTGGACTCCGTGCAGAAGAGCAAGGGGAGGGGCTTCTTCCACTCCCAACAGAGTGCGAAGACCTGCACAGCAGGGAGCAGGGGAAGCAGCAGGCTCCAATGTGGGGCTTCCCTTGCTGCCAGTGCTGGAGCTGCAGGCAGGGGGAGCAGAACCCCGGCAATGGGGCCGGCTCTACTCCTTCCTGCTGTGCAGCGCTAGCTGGAGCCACACCTGTGCCAGGCACGAGTACCCTGACCTCCCTGGCTGCTTCTGCTGCCAGGCAGCGGGACCTGCATGCCATGGAGGGAGTGTGTGGGGGGTCACTATACCCCCCACCCTCACACCCATACCCCACCCAGCTGAGCTCCGCGCTACCACTGCCCCTCTGGGGGGGGGGAGGAGGAGGAAGAGAAGGAGAGGGAAGAGTTCCCCCCAGCATGGAATAGAGCCTCTCCCTGCCAGGGGGGACGAGTGGCAGGGAAGAGTCCCCCTCTGGGGCTGGGCAGCCTCACAGAGCCCCCCTCCCCACCTCACTACAGGGCAGAGGAGGAGAAAGAAGTGCCCCTCCCCCAGCTCCAAACAGAGCCTCCCTCCCAGCACCATGACAGTGAGGAGGGGGAAGAGTTCCCCTCCAGAGCTGGGCAGCCCTGTGTGCTGGGATTGCTCCCGCTGTCAGGGAGCCACTGTGGAAGGGAGGGCATGCTCTAGCAGCCCTGGACTTCCGGCTTGAGCCACTGCAGACACGTGCCTGCATTTCCTGAATATAAAGGGAAACCCACTTGGAAACTGATTCACTCTCTGCAGGTTAGACTAACCTGCAAAGATTGAATCAATTCAGGCTTGGGTTTTTTGAATGTCTGTCCCTAGCCTTGGTGTGTCTCACAGGCTGGATGACAAGGCTCTGTGGGCCAGATCAGGTTGAACACCACCAAAACTACATTTAGGTGTATTCAAATAGCTCCGGATAACTTGTGATTTTCCTATCTATCGTGTGGTTTTAAAGAAAAAAAAAATTGAAAACTGTATCCCAGACCAAAAAACCAAAACCCAAAACAAAAACTTCTCTTATATAAACTTTTGTAGTAACAGATGAGTTTTCATAAGAAAAGTCTCCAAATTTTGCATTCCCAAATTACTACAAAACATGTCACAGAAATGATAAAGGCCTACAAATAGCACAGATCTTAAATATTACTTGTGTGGTGAAAGATCCCATGTAGTCTAATTAACAAAGCATCCAATGTATTTCTAGGATTAGTTGGTGGCTACCTTTTACCACCTCTCCCCGGTGTAATTCTATATAAATGTGGGATAACTTAACTTGTACTACTTAAATCTTCAGTTGCTTCAGTAGGCCTAATGCTTTAAACCACTATGATTTTTTGTAAGTATTCTGTAACGTCAGCAATGAGATATCATATAGTACTCATCATGTAACATTCTTTCTGTATTGGGATTTCAAAATTAAGAAAATTTTGTCTCTTGCTATGCAGAGTATTAACAAAAGCCTGATATGATACTGGTTCCAGAGGCCCCATGTGTAGCACGTTGGGGTCCCACAGGTGGCCGTGACACTCCCTGGTAGCTCCATGACCATTCCCCACTCCACACCTATAGCACCTTCCTGTATCGCCTTCGACACCTTGATGGAATAATGATAAATTGGAAATTGGAAACCTACCCATGTAGAACCAGGTCTACTGATCCCCACTAGGGTCCCCAGTACCCTACTAGTCCTCATTGATCCTCAGCCCTTCACTGGACTTCTGTAGTCCCAGGCCCCTTGCAGAGCCTCTGCAGTCCCTGTGCCTGGCAAGGCACCCAGAGCCTTAAGGGCTAATTGTGTGGCTCCAAATCCATCCCTACACCTTGCCCCATGCCTAGTGAGTGTTACTGTACTGGCATTCCCTCTATCAGGGCTTCAGCCTTTTCAGCCTCCACCCTATTACTCTTGCAAGATCTTCTAACCTGGGCCCACTGAATCAGACCTGGCTCTGAGGCACCGGCCTGTGCTTGTCCTTTCAGGTCACTGGGCCCCTGTCTGCCAGGGCCCAGGTCTGCGTGTATCTGCACCCCTCTGGCACTGGGCTCCAGTCTCACTGCTGCCAGGCACTCTGCCCACTCCGGGCTCAGTAACTAATTGAGCCTTGAGCCTGCCCATGGTAGGGCTCAAGGCTATTGGGTGTCACTCAGGCACTAATGGGACCTCCTTAACCACCCCTTACAACCCCACCCCGAACCTCCAGTATAAACATAAGCACAAGCCCCTGGGCTATACAGCATAATAACAACAATGCAAACAGCACTCTGCCCCTTTAAGAGGGCAAAGCTTTACCCCTAGTATAGTGTGCCTCCCTGCCGGGGTACCTTGTGAAGTCCCGGGGCCTCACTAGTTCTGTAGGAAGCAAAGCAGACAGTCAAGCGACCCTGCGTGGCTCTCCTGGGCAGGAGCTCCTTCCCCTGGCAGCTACCAGGGAGGGACTCCCCTGCCTGCCCCAACCTTGGGCTTACATGCTCCCAGGGCCTTGCCTACATCTGTCAGCTGACCGCTTACAGGTGTCTGCTAACTGCCTCATTTGCACTACTGCCCTGAGAACTGGCAGCTGCCTGCCCTGCAGTGCTCTCTAGCTGGGCTGACTTTATCTTAAAGTAACAGAGAGCCTGTGGCTCTCCAATACACCATGTAGAAGTAAAATTACAGTTTAAAGAAACTTTGTTTGGGACAGCATCCAAACTACACCCATGTACAACATGAATATAATTGCATTACAACAAAAAAGAACTTAGAGAACGATAACAAGGCAAAGATTTCTGCATTTTCTTTTTAAACGCTAGCAATCCTGACTGATTTTCTTTTTCAGAAATAACTACTGCACATTGAGAACATTGAAACTAATTTTTAAAATATATTTTGAAGGCTCTGAGTTTGCTTTCCAAAACAAAAAAATGTTTAGTAAAACCACTGGGGGAAAAAAAAAAGGAAAAACTTTTTGGGATTTTTCAGAATTGTTAATTAATACACACTTCCTCTTCTTGTGAACTCAGATTAAGGCATTTCAAAGAAATGCAAAGAAATATACTACAAAGTGAGTAAGTTTAACTTTCATTCTAGAATGAACTTTGGCACCACAAACTGCACATGCACGCACATCTGGATGTGCCCCAGAAGGTGAAAGGCTTGTGTTAAATCAGAGGACAGTTTCTAAATAGCACACAAAACTGGCACACTAACAGAACTTGTATGAATGGGTGAGAGGCTCCTAGGTTCTCACACCCAATTTGCTTTTCCCAACATATAAAAATTTATTTCAATGATTTTTTTATAAACAAGGCCACCAGACAACAATGTGGCTGTAATAAAACTCCTCCTTAATTTCTATTAAAATGCGTTTGGATAGAGTTTTGGGGAGGTTTGGGGGGGTTATGTTTGGGGTTGCTCCCAAAGTTGTGGGCACTACACAAAATGTAACTATAATGAGCAAGCAAATAGAGATCACGTGTTCAAGTACACCACAAAAATAAACTTGTCCCAATAAGAAAAAATTGGAGTCTCAAAATAACTTCTCTCATGTTCATTAAAAGCTGAAACGGCACCACTGCTTTTTACCACTGTATTTCATTCAGTTGCTAATCAAGGAGAGTGTTTAAGATGACAGAGCTACAATTCCATATTCAGGACATTTGACCTATTTTGCATGAGTGTTATTCACAGATAAATTTCCCTCTCATTATAAAAACCATAAAGCAAATCTTGCTTGTTTTTTGGAAGGCTTGGTTTTCTTAAATTGGTAAATACTGAATTACAAATTTATAGCAACTGCAAAGTTAAAGTACATAAATCTTTGCTGAAGCAGATCTGCCTACCCAAGACTTGGCAGTTCACCAGAATACGTTTGGAAATTTTTCTTGCGACTTTACTAGATTCAACTATAATACAATTTGAAATAAATACAATCACAAGATATGAACACATTATGAAACATATTTTTGCACAATTCTTTGCAAGTATACAATACAATGGAAGGGTCTGGAGGAACAAATTACTATACATACTGTACAATCTGAACTTCCAAAGCGCAAGATGACAAGCTGAGGGCATAGTGGCACCCTTAAATTTGAATCCCCTTGCTATTTTTAGATTGCAACTGGCCCACTCAAATCACATATATATGGTTTTCTATATTTAATGCATAATTACCTTAGTTCAGTATTACTGTCTTGTAACTGGATAACCAAAGCAAGGTAAGGACTTTTTGGTAATATCTTTGATTGGATCAACTGTATAGCTGGAAGACATGTTAGACAAGCAACTTGTGCCAGAAAATCAAGTTTTCTAGCACAGATTCCCCTAACATCTCTCCCAACTACACAGTTGATCTAATAAAAGATATCACCAAAAATTCCTTGGTTCTTGTATATTTCCAGGATCATCACAGCTACAGCATCAGTCCAACCTTAATGCTAACATAAGAACATAAGAAACTGTCCCCTCACAAATACTGGTAGTACCAAAAGGAAATTTCTTCCTCCTCCTCTTAAATTTAAAAAATGACACAATAACCAAAGATAAACAGCCTATATGAAGAAATAATTAAAATGATTCCAAAAGACATTATATAATCAAGCTTAGCAGTTCTCCCGACTAAAACCTGGTTTGAAGAGCAAGGAATATATTTGAATTTTTGAGATCACAGGGTAAACAGCAGCTGCAAGATACAGGATATGAAAAGTAAGGCTCCCAGGGATAGATTCTCTACCAAATCCAAGTAGAGATCCATACATGAAATCTTGGGAAATTATGCCCCAGTGGACCATTGGTCACTGTACCATGACAGGCTCTTCGGGTTAAGGCACTGAACTGGGATCAGGAGATTCAAGTTCTGTTTTTAGGTCATGCAGACTTCCTGCGAGACCTAGCAATTCATTTACTCCCTCTGTATCTTGATTCTTCTTTTCAAAATGGGCATGGTATTTACTAGGGGGGTGTGAAACAGACCGTATTCAATTCAGAATCGGCCCAAATCGGGGACAGTGATTTGATTTGTTGATTCAGATCACTGTTCCTGATTCGATTTGGCTGAATCCAAATCTGATTCAGAGAATCAGCGATTTGGCCATAGACACAGCTTTAAATGTTTTTTCTACGTACCTCGAGGTATCAGGTACGGCTTGTGAACACTGCGATGGTGGGTGGATAGAGAGTCCCACAGAAGTGTGAGGGGTCCCCTACGTGCTTGGTGGTACTTCTGGTCCACTTCCAGGTCTGCCGGACAGCACGCAGGGGGGCCCCCTGCATTCCTCCAGCTTGGCGATCAACTGCAGGGGAACACTGGTTGCTCCCCAGACTTAGGAGGCACCAGTTGCCAAGCCGGGGGAAGGGGAGTGGGCCCTGAGCACTCCCTGGTGGACCTGGAAATGGACCAGAAATGCTTCTGGTCAACTTCCGGGTCTAATACCAAGCGTGCTGGGAAGCCCCCTGCACTCATATGGGACGCTCCATCTGCCCCAGCATCTCAGCATTCATAAGCCGCCTACTACCTTGAGGTATGTAGAAAAAACATTTAAAGCTGTGTTTATGTCCAAATTTCCGAATCTCTCTGAATCAATTCAGAGGGTTCTGATTCAATTCAGAGAGATTAAAGGGTCTCCTGATTTGATTCAGATTCTGAGATTTGGCCACTTAATTGGGCCAAATCGAATCCGGGACCAAAGCTTTGCACAACCCTAGCATTTACCTAACTCTGTTTGAGTTTAACAAGTATGGTGGGGAGGGATGTTAGCAAGAAATACGCATTTTGAAAGTACCCATTTGATTTTAGGGTCAAAGCATGAAGAAGATTCCCAGGATGCTATAGTTACCTCATCTTCACTGCTGTCTTCAGGGAGCCAAATGTGGATAATGTGTAGACCAATCTGCCAAAAGAAGGAAATTCTATAAATACTAACATGGTCAAACAACTCACAATTAAAAGTAATCACCCCCTAAATCTCACTGTCTCTGAAGTAACCCAAGACATAATTAAGTTGGGGATTCATTACATGGCATGTATGGATATTCTACCAAATTAGGCTTACTACTTGGGTGTTTGGCCTCTAATTGTAGCTAGTGCGAAACTGTGTTTTCTATTGTTCTCCTCTCTGTATATATTATAGCAATTTATATAAATGTAAGGTATGCTTAACTTGAACAGCCCACAATTGTTCACATTTAGAGTCAATGGCTAAGAATTAGCATTTGACTTGGTTTATGTAAGCCTGAGTCTCGCCAGACAATGAAATGGAATCAGAGAACATTTGGGATGGAATGAACCTCAGGAGGTCATCTAGTCCAGTGGTTCTCAACCTTTTTTGTATCAGGACCCATTTTATACCAGGACCCATTTGTAAACATCGGTGGCCAGTCCTGACCCAGTGCCCCTCACTCCTGATCTGCCTCAATAGGGCAGGGGGTGGTATGTGTGGGGCATAGAGGGCCCCCAAGCCCTCTTGCAGGCTGGAATTCTGACATTCCCAAACCATTTCCCAAGTTTTTCCCCTTTAAAGGAGTATTCATTTTTAAAGTTTGTTGATCCATTTTTAAAGTTTGTTCGTGACTCTTTCATATATTCTTGTGACCCACTTTTGGGTCGCCACCCACGGGTTGAGAAATGCTGATCTAGTCCAACACTGTGCTCAAAGTAGGACCATCCCCAACTAGATTATCCCAGCCAAGGCTTTGCCTACCTAGGGTTTAAAAACCTCCGAGGATGGAGATTTCCTTTCTGAGTAGCCTGTTCCACCCCGGTGGTGAGAAAGGGTATCCTAATATCCAACTTAAACTTTCCTTGCTGCAACTTGAAATCCTTGCTGCTTGTTGTCATCTGCCACCGCTGAGAACAGTCTAGCTTCATCCTCTTTGGAACCCCCCTTCAAGGAGCTGCAGGCAGTTATTAAATCCTCTCTCAGTTCTCTATTCTCCAGATTAAAGAAGTCTAGTTCCCTCAGCCTCTCCTCAGAAGTCATGTGCCCCACACCTCTAGCCATTTTTGTTGCCCTCCATTGGACTCAATTTGTCCACATCCTTTCCCTAGTGGGGGGCCCCAAACTGGACACAGTACCCCAGATGTGGCCTCAGCAGTGCTGAACAGAGGGGAAGAATCACTTCTCTTGATCTGCTGGCAATGCTCCTAGTAATGCAGCCCAGTATGCCATTAGTCTTCTTCACAAATTGTTGGGTCATATTCAGCTTACTGTCCACTGTAACCCCCAGGTCCTTTTCTGCGGAGCTGCTGCTTAGCCAGTTGGGTCCACGGCCTGTACCAGTGCATGGAAATGTTCCATCCTAACTGCAGGACTTTGCACTTCTAACTGAACTTCATAGAACGTTGTTTGGTCCAATCCTCCAGTTTGAATAGGTCTCTCTCTCTCTGAATCCTAGCCCTATCCTCCAGTATATCTACTACTGCCCCCAGCTTAGTGTCATCCACAAACTTGCTGAGGGTACACTCCACCCCATCTTCCAGGTCACTGATAAAGATATTAAACAAAACCATCCCCAGGACCAATCCCTGGGGCACTTGAAAAACCCTAGGAGACTCCATAATATAAAGAGCCAAAGCAGAACCATGGGCCCAGGCCTGGGCTCTGATTTGGAAGACAGGGCAAAGCAGGGGATATCTGCATTTTAAAAGAGGCCTGATACCTAGCTAGTCAAACTATCATACAGGAGATGAATCCAGATTAATGAATCTACACATTTACAGAGGATGCAAGACTGCAGTCTAGTACTGTACTTAAGCCTGCCTGGAAAGCATGGCTGGGTCTTTAGTCTTCCCAGATACAAGAAAGGGGCTCTGCTGTTTTACTGAAGGTGGCTCAAGACAAACAGAGAGAGGAATTCAGGGGGCCATGACAGGCAGAGTCAGCATTTAGATCTTTGGAACTGGCTAAGGACTGAATCTTTAGATTTCAAGCGTAGGGTCAATATTCTGATGTTTTGTTGCATTCATCTTGTATCTCTGTCTGTATCTCAACATATAGTTGCTGTTTTCTTATGCTTGTTCTGTTTTTATAATAAATTATTTTGGCTGCTTTCAGACATTAAAAAAAACCAAACAAAAAAAAGTACTTTACTGGAAGAAGCAGCACATTAGCTCGACCCTGCCTCATAGCATCTGTATAGTTCAGGCACTTTGGCAGGGCTTTTTGGTGCTTTTATCTAATAGTTGATTCAATCAGCTAGTAGACAAAAATGCCCATTCTATACAGACATTGGGCAAGCCGGGTCCAACTAACATGATGCCTCTTCTGGGCATGTACTGGGCTCAGCAAGGGGGCACGCGAAGTCTAAAGTAAATCCCCATTTTTATTTTTTTAAATGTTTGTAAGCAGCCTTTGTTGTCTGTCTCCTTGTTGGTTGACTGCAGGAGGAGTAACTTCTGGGAAGATGATATTCAAGGCTGACCCTCTCCTTAGTTCACTGAAGAGCAGGCAAACCCCTCAATAAAACAGAAGTCCTTAACTTTGGGAAGGCTGACTTCTGCAAACTGAGAGAATTGGTCAGTCAGGCAATCAGAAGCCATACCCCTGCCTGAAAAGGGAGTATACGAGGAACGGTCATCACTCAAAAACACAATCCTTGAAGCACAGGGCAAAGATATCCCATCTCGCAAGAAATGCAATCAACAGGCAAGGAAGCCCCCATGGTTGAATAAGGAACTCTTGGACCTCATTAAGCTCAAAAAAGTAGCCTATACCAGATGGAAAACAGGAAGCATTACCAATGAGCATTAATCTGCACTCACCCACACCTGCAAAGAGTGGTCAAGAAAAGCCAAGGCACAAACCAAACTTAGGCTAGCTACAGGGATCAAGGACAACAAAAAGTCCTTCTTCAGATACGTGGGAAGTAGAAAAAAAAAAGACTACCGGAAGGCCAGCCAACATGGCTTTGTGACTGGCAGGTCTTGCCTGACCAACCTCATCTCCTTCTATGACCAGGTAACATGTGCCCTGGACAAGGGAGATGATGTGAACGTCATATATCTGGACTTCAAGAAGGCCTCTGACCTAGATCCCCATGATGTCCTCATGGTTAAGCTAGGGAACTGTGGCCTTGATCATCATACAGTCCAATGGCTAAGCAACTGGCTACAGGGTTGAACCCAAAGAGTACTAGTTGAAGGGAGGAAATCAACGTGGCGCAGGGTTACCACTGGAGTCCCTCAGGGCTCTGTACTTGGGCCAGTACTCTTTAACATCTTCATCAATGATCTGGATTCGGGAGTCAGATGTGAACTGGCAAAGTTCACAGACTATACCAAATTATGGGGGAGGGCAGTCACACCTTAGGATGGGCTGAGGATACAGGCCGACTTGGACACACTCTCAAGGTGGCGTGGCGCAGGGTTACCACTGGAGTCCCTCAGGGCTCTGTACTTGGGCCAGTACTCTTTAACATCTTCATCAATGATCTGGATTCGGGAGTCAGATGTGAACTGGCAAAGTTCACAGACTATACCAAATTATGGGGGAGGGCAGTCACACCTTAGGATGGGCTGAGGATACAGGCCGACTTGGACACACTCTCAAGGTGGGCTGACCAAAACCTGATGGTCTTCAATTCAGAAAAGTGCAAGGTGCTGCACCTTGGAAGGAAGAAACCCTAGCATACTTACAAGCTCGGCACTGCTACACTCACTAGCACCACAACTGAAAGGGAGCTGGGCGTTTTGATAGACCACAAGATGAATATGAGGCACCAATGTAATGCTGTGGCTGGCAAAGCTAACCAAACTCCGGCATGCATCCACTGATGAGTCTCAAGCAAAACCAGGGAAGTCATCCTCCTGCTTTACTCGGCTGTGGCGAGACCACAGCTGGAGTACTGCGTCCAGTATTGGGCCCCCCACTTCAGGAAGAATGTGGAGAAGCTTGAGAGAGTCCAGAGGAGAGCCACCCGTATGATCAAAGGCCTGGAGGGAAGGCCGTACGAGGAGAGGCTGAGGGACTTGGGACTCTTCAGTATGAAGAAGAGAAGGCTCAGGGGGGACTTGGTGGCAGCCTTCAATTACATAAGAGGGGTACATCAGGACCTGGGAGAACACCTTGAGGCTTCGGGGGGTCTTCCGCCAATGGGTTTGTGACACTTACCTCTTCAGCCAACTTCTTGTTCATCTCTTGCACCAAATCATAACTTCCTGCCTTCAGGGAAAAAGAGAACAAACCCAAAAAAGAATATTTAGCATTTAAGGGAATTTTATGCCTATTATGTACACACTGAAACCTAGCTCTGCAAAATAAATCTATCACTGTTAACAGTGAAAGGAGGTTAAAGCAACAATATTTATAAGAAACTAACAGGAAATCACTGTGGGAAATTTATCTTGGTTTGACGTATTCAAACATGTTTAATCTTTGCCCAGTTCTTACAGATAAATTAAGAGTAAACAAGCAGTGAAGTGAACTTGTTTAGTATTTAAGAAAGACACCAGTCTGGTAATACTTGCTGCTACAGTTCTCTCTGCTTCCATAGAATACAAAAAGCATAGGCAATGACAACAGAAACATATGCTACTCTGTTTCAAAGTGTCATAAATTTATGTTTTACCTCTAATGCAACTACTAATACAGGTGCAAACTACTGTCAAATATTATGATGGGCTTTGTGATGTAGACCAGTGGGCCCCAACGCATCTGGCCTCAACTGGCGCTGCAGGGCTGGAATGAGTGATGCAGGGATGGTCCATGTGCCAAACCAGAGCATGGAGTCAAGTCATCCCAGCCACTGGGGCTAGAATTTGGCAGCAACGGCATCTGTTGCTGGAGTAGCTGTCTGTCACTACCAAATTTTCAGTCCTATGGGCCAGATAATGCAGCTCTACACTCTAGCTCCAGCCCACAGAGCTTCCCATGGATCCGGATATTGCCACGGTTCCTGCAGCCATAGCAATTAATGTTGCCACTGCTCATCACACAGTTACATTTCCAGACCTGTGGAGGGCCCCACAGGTCACATTACTAGAGACCTACTGAAATCATAGCAGAAGTGGGGTGGCACTATGGCTTCTTTAATCTTGCAGGTTCCCCCGTGCCCACCCCCACTCTCCGCTGATTGGTGGAGAGGCCCTGCTTGCGGCTCACTCCAGCAGAGAGGCAAAAACTGCGGTTTTAAATATGGCATCGTTTTTGCCTCCTGCTCCTGACTGGCTGAGGGGTCTCGCATGGCCCTGCTGTTTACTGCTGACTAGCTTGGAGCCAAAAATGGTGTCATGTTTAAAACTGTTTTTAGCTTTCCTGCTGTTCAGGAGAGAGCAGCACGGTCCTCTGCTAATCAGCACCGAGGGGGGGGCAGGTAGCTCCTGAGGTAATCTGTTGTTTTTTAAAGACTAAAGTCTTTGGGTCTTCACAAACACCACCAGAAAGTTATCTTTACAACAGCATTTTGCTGTTCCTCATCTGGAGCAGATACAAAACAAATGCCAGTTATCCTAGTGATCCAGCCTCTGTAACTATTTGCATTTGAATAAAGAACAGAGCTTTGCCATCTTATCTATATCTGAATTCCAGGAGATTTTTCAATCATTCTCACAGATTAGAAACTTCAAATGAAAGCAGTATTTACGATTCCCAAGAAATCTGTACTGAACTTTAACTTTGATCACAAAATTAAACAAAAAAATGATTTTAGCCAATCAACTGTTACTGGTTTGTTGTTGTTGGGGTTTTTTTTAATAAAATCATTGCACTCAAAATGAAAGCAGAAAATAACAGGGAAATGAATAAGTCCTGAGAGGTTCTCTCTCTCTCTCAAAACGGTACAGTAGCTTTATTGTTTTTCCCTTACTTCTACTAATTTAAAAGCATCTTGAATCAAGTTCAGGTTCAAGGTTCTGATAAAAAAATGACTGAAGCCAGTCAGAAGACAAACTTCAGCGTACGTAGACTTCGTGGTTTCCCTTACAGGCAGCCACAGAGTACAGGCACTAGAGGTCTTGCTTGTCTAGAAGTCCAAGCCAATTATGAACAAGACAACAAAGGTGGCTACGCCCGGACAGTGAAAGGTGGTTACATGAGAAACCCAAAGAAAGATCTCATATGACTTTCTACAAAAATAGACATAATCTAAGCAGTATGCTTATGCATTTCAAACAGGTGAAAAGGGTCTTTATGGCTTGGCAACAAAATCTGCTGTTGACCATCCACAGAGATGTTTAAACATTAGACCATTCTTCTGCATTTAAAAAAGTATCGGCAATACTGTGTGCTTATAAAGCACTTACTATTAGATATAATTTGACATTTAACGTTACACTGACTTAGAAAACATCACTATGAATGCTAATTAAACACTGTTTGCTTCCCTCCTTATAACACAAATGCAAGATTTGATTCTTGTCCAAAACAAATTTTCTACATTTTTAAGTTTCAAAAAGGAAGTACCAAAAAGCAATCCTTTAATTAAATACAACACACACACTTTACCTGTAAAATTGCAAGCGTTGGCTTAAGCATAGGGTGTTCTCTCTTCAAGGAGGCCAAGACTTTCTTTGAACTCTGAATGATTTCACTGCAAGATAAAAGTAATACAGCGTCAATTTTTCTTAAACATATCCTTTTTGCTCTATAACCTTTTGGCATTAGTTTTCCAGACTGTTTCAGTATTAGTGTCCATATGATTTAGCATGGAATAAGCCCATCAAAATACCTTCAATTTATAACTGTTTTTTTATCATTGACCCAGTCTTTATAGTTTGCCAATCTACTGTTCTTCTACAACAAGGCTTGAAAAGTCCACTTCTCAGCAAACAGCAGGAAACATCACCATTTTTCTGCACAGCTTACTCTCCTAATTAAGAAACTCAGCCCTAGAAGCTGGAGCTGGGGGCAACACTGCAAATGGAACTGATATCTCTTCGCATGCGCAGGCGATTCCATTACTGGCAATAGCAAGAACAGGTTAAAATTACGGTCGCTTTCACTGCTGGATTATTCAGAACTTCCCAGAAACCTTGGAAGGGAGTTCCCCCCTCCCCATTCTCGTATGCCCCTGTCTAGAAATAGCAGCAGACACAGACTGGAAAGGTAAACACAACCCCCACATCTCCAGTGCAGAAATGAAGGCTAAGGGACTTGTGGATTAGTTTATCCTCCTTGGAGGTTGCAGGAGAAAAGTAGATCCATGCCCTCAGAGTGGACACAAAATAGGGGCAGGGCAGGAGGACAGAGATTCCTCCTATTCCAGAACGGTCCTTTACCCTTTCAGAGGCCCACAGCCAATACAGGTTGGCATCCTAGTGGGAATCTTTTCCCCTGACAAAGCATCTGACATTTTAGGATAGGGGAAGGAAGCCTTTCAGTTAGGTCATCTAGTCCAGCCCCCTGCTCCAGGCAGCACTGTCAACAGAGAGGAAGTATTTGCTACGTCTCTCAAGACGACCACTGAACACAGTTCAGCTTCAAACCAGCGATGCTCAACTCAACCCGAGTGGCACAGCCCCCTGCAGTGCCTTGAGATCCTTTCAGCATTGGTGCAGAACGCTAGCGCTGCTAACACTGTGCCTCGGGTGAACCCAGAGATTTCCAAATGGGAATCCCTGGCCTTAAAAGCCCTCTGCCCTCCGTGCATCCAATCCCCCTCATATTCTTCTGTCCTCAAAAAGCAAGCGCAAACTAAGCGCTGGCTCAGTTCTCCGAGGGCGAAGGCTGAGAAGCACAGGGTCCGTTTCCCCTCGAGGAGGGGATCAGTCATACAGAAGCAGGCCTGGAAGTGGTCCCTAAAGGTGGCCTAGGCCAGCATTTCTCAATGCTGTGGGTCATGTGTAGGAAAGGGTTGCAAACAAACTTTCTAAACGGATTCCCCTTCCAAGGAGGAACACGGTGGCTTTTCCCTGGCAGGCTGGCAGAGCTGCAGCCCGCGAGGGGTTGCTTGGGGGAGGGGCTGGGGGCAGAGGGTCAAGAGTGAGCACTGGGTCAGGACCGGCCATCAGCGTGTACAAACGGGTCCTGGTACAAAAAAGGTGGAGGCCCACTGAGTTAGGCCACCTCCCTGCCTGAACCTGGGGCAAGACCATCCCTACCCCAACCACCCCCTATAACCATAATCCAAACTCTACCTTGAGTTCATTGCAGAGCTCTCTTTACAGCCCTGGGAGCCCCTACAAGGGCTCCCCATCACCGCCCTGCTTGGCTCGGGTATAAAGGGCTGGCTGAACCCCAGCAGGGCAGACATGGGGGGCTACACGGGGGCATCAAGAGTGATGTGGTACCCCGCTGTCCCGCCCGGGGGGGCTGCTGCTGGCTCCGGGCACCCGAGCACAGGGACGGGGGGCCCGGGGCAGCAGGGGCCGCT